CGTGCCCTTTGCACCCTAGGCCAGTGCAGCACCTGAGCCAGTAGAGGGAAGCTGAAACCCTGCCCAAGGCAGCATTTAGAATCTATGCATGAAAAATACTGGCAAAAACATGTACATGCATATGCATATTGCATATACATGTGTATTATTTTTCAACTATGAAGACAAGGTGCCACCATATTACTCTCCAGTGCAGGCATTGCTGGAGAGAGGAGCCTCCATACAGCCCCTGGCATGAATTTATAACTGATAGCTTGTATCTGCTCAGAAAGCGCATAGCTGCCTTTTACACTGTTCCAGCCAATTAAAGATCAATAACTCGTCTAGTGCTGTTACTGCTTCGTGGAGAAACGGGCTGGGAATCTGCAAGGGAAACCTTGCTGTTTCCCATTACCATAACTTGGTATTATTCCTTAGTGCTGTTGCTTTGCCTTTTAACAGGCAAACACCCATCTGAGGTGTTGATTAGATGGGCCCTTTGTGGGGACAGGGATGATTGTTGGAAGGAAAGGGGAGCAAGTTATTTGCTAAAGTAAATGAATTGTCACTGGAGATTCACGGAGTCCTTTAACTAGTGTCCTGTGCAGGAAGGCAAAATGCCTCCCAAACGACATACTGCCAAACTACAAACTCCCAAATGCCTACCTTCTGTGTTGGTGTCATCTGACCCTCACCACCAAAGGATGGTTCCATTATCGTCATTAATGTGAGGGATTATCCCTCCCCTAGGAGTTGAGACCTGAGAACTGAGTTACTTGCCTAAAGTTCCACACTAAATCAGTGGTAGAGGTAGCAACTCAGCCCAGCACTCCTGGATACCAGCCTGATGCCCTTTCCATCCTTTCTCCCCAGTAAAGATCATGATTCTGATCTCCCTGTTTCACTGGGAGGTAGTGATTTCATTTCTGGTCCCAGTGAAATCAGTGGAACAAGCCAGCATGAATAAGGGCATTAACACTGATCAGCAAAGGGCTAGGGGCATAACAACCTACCAGTCACTGCTAGAGAAATGTCCAGCTCAACAAACCCCTCAGCAACTTTGCACTCCTCTCTTCAAGTGTTTCTAGGGCAGGATCAAGACAGTAGTTTGATGTGCTGAGTTCAGAGAGCAGCAGCTGGTAGAAGGCTATGCGGGCGCATGCATGTTTATATCCCCTGCTAGCCTGGGAACCTGACTGGAAACCCTGATGCCCCTCTGCCTAAGGAGTAATGCAGCACAAAGCCCCCAGAAACTTGCTGGAGGACAGCTCAAAACAGCATCTCAGCTGTTCTGCCTGTTTACCTACTCATGTGGCTCTCAGCACCATAGTTGTTGAGTGCATGCAGATTCCTGAGGACTCTGGCTCCCACGCGCACTCTCAGAGCTGGGTTCGATGTACTTTCAGCCTGCCTGAACAAAATGCCATTACAGGAACACCTTGGCTCTGCCCCAGGCCAGGTCTACACCACAGATTTTTGCTAGCACAGCCCTGTTCAGCAGAGGTGCATAACACAAACTGCATCACCAAGAACCCTCCCGTGGCTATGGTTATACAAGCAAAACTGTATACAGCTTCTTTTGCTCCAAGTGGCTTGAATGTACTATACTGGCACAAGCTCATCCTTGCTATTATGAGCTGTTCAGACTAGGCTCACTTGGCCAGTAAGGTGCACTGGGAGAGATGTTCCAGCCAAGCGCTCTGTGTGTGCATTTGGTCTCATTCCCAGACATGGGTTATGTGACCCATTTGCACCAGTGTAATATTCATTGGATTCATACCCCGGTGTAAATTGCACTGGGATATAGAGCAGACAGGCCTGCTCCCAGAAGGTTGCCATTATTCCAACTCTTTGCCGCTAGGTGACGAGAAAGCAGGATAAGTTTGACATTTATACTGGGGTAAGTTACACAGGCATAGTTTTCCCTTGATATTCCTGGGTATAATTCTACACTCATTTTGAGAAAGTTATATAGATAAAAGGCTGGATGCTGTGCTCCATTCCCTTTTTTTAACATAGGCATGAATATGTCATGTGTCCATGCCCTTACACTCTCTCTCTGTCAGACACGCATGCACCTTGCACACGTGCTCTTTCTGTCTCAGCTTTTCAAACTCCTGGTAGCACGATTGGAGGTCTCTCACACACGCTTCCTGTCTTGCCAGCATGGTTGTACCTTTGTTCATTCTGTCTCTCACTCATTTCTCTCAGACATGTGCTGTTTCTTTCTCACAAATACCCACAGACACATACCCTGTCTCTGGTGCTTTTCTCCTTTTCTTGCTAACCTCACATCTATAGTAAAATCACTTACCAATGTAAACCATAACACTGGTTCTGTTTTGGCATAGCATGGCAACAATGCTGGGGGAACCAAGTTTGGCCATGAGTCAGGCCTGTCCAGATTGCATTATCTTCTGGAACTTTAATCTGCTAATGAGGCTCCATTTATACTGACTTGTGCACGTGTAGGATTTTCCTTCTGCATATCCAGCCATAGATGCTGAATTCTTAGACATTAATCCTGCCCTTTCAAGAGAGAGGGAGTTATGTTTCGTTATACCCAGTGCTGGGAGCCTTAAACCAGCCTCCAAAAACCACTATGCAAATTAATCTGCTCTGCTAAGTAATAGTGTCTCAATTCATTTTGGATTTATTTTCCATAAATTGCTAAACGGTGGTTGTTTTGGGTGACAATGCCGCATTGTGCCTGTCTGCTAAGTACACAAACGTTTGGGGTTATTTTCTTTTGTGCCCGTTTTTATCAGTCCTATGCAGGCATGAGCCCATCAATATGCACTTCATTATTCACTGTTCTCTGGGAGAAAGGAGGCCGTGAATGTAAATTACATGTTAGACACCCGTTAGGTTACAATGCGGGGATGTGTCCTCCCTAGGAATTCTTTTTTTTTTTTTAATTTTTTTTTACAGCAGGCAGGCAATTCATGGTATGTTTCTGAAGTCATAAATTTTGCTTGAAAGCTTCCTTTGAAAGTGACTCGGTGCGTTTAATCAGCCAAGGGTCCTTATCTCGGCCTTGCAACGTGGCGGTGTTTTAGCAAAGCGATCCCTCAGTCTGAATAGATTTGCGCGCAAAGCAGTTGGATGCAAAGATGAAAAGGGAGCTCTGTCACGTGCTCACCCAAAAATAGCATCATTGTGATGGTTGCCAGCACCAAGGGAGGCAAAAATTACTGAGCGTAAATGGTCACGGGGTTCAGTGTTAGCCTGGAGGCAAGTGCTGTAGTAACACTGATGCCTCCTGGAGATGTAATGGAGCATCTTTATCCCCTGTGTGACCAGTTATCCTTGTGGCTATCTCAGACAGCTGGGGTTAGTTGAGCTGTCCTGGTCCTTGGCAGATTTAGCATGGCTCAGGGGGCTGCTATTTATATTATGGTAGTGTCTGGGTGTTGGAGCTGAGCTCAGGACCCTGTGGTACAAGATGTTTTGTCTACACTAACATAGATGACACGGCTCCTTCCCCAGAGAGCTTATACTCTTAACTAGATGGGAGCAGAGGCACTAAGAGGAGAGGTGACCCACCCAAGGTCATTCAGGAGGTCAGTAGCAGAGCTAGTGTCTAAGCCACTACTAGATCAAGCTACCTCTGAGGCAGAGAGAAGCCAGGAATTGAGTGAACCACGATTGCAAAACAACCCTCTTTCACCTGAGAGTGTAGGGATTGCTTTCAAAGTGACCCTGAGAAACACTGAGTGGGAGACTCTTGCACATCACTCTATGATGCGCATGCCATCCACAAATGCCTTCTTTCATAAACACTGTGCCTGGAACCCCATCACCTGGGAAGGGTTCAGAACAATTTTCCCCCAGAGCGACCATAGGGCAGGTGACTGCTGAGGCAGCAAGAAGGATGATATTCCTAGGAAAGGGAGGTGCCTTGAAAAGATACTGAGATTAGGGCATTCCCCCTTAAAAACAAGAGGCAGAGAGCTGGCCCAGACATGCAAGTTGAGGCCCAGCTTCTGAGAGACAAACATTGGCCTCTCAGCATGCAACACTGGCATCTCAAGGTGTTCCATACGTCATTCTCCCCACAGCTCTGCTGCTGAGCACACCCCTTCGGGTGAACCAAACATGGACTGGGACAGAGGCAAGACTTGGAGCATGCCTGGCTTTGAGTCTAAATGCCAAGAGAGGCATTCCTCCCCAACCTGTATCTCGCTGTCTCTGAAGCACCCAGCCAGATGCTGAGCCTCAGGACACTTGCAGAATTGCAGTGCACAACCATGAGGCACTCAGAAAGCAGGACATCCTGGGCACCCCACCTGCTTCCCCTGCCCATGGCCTTTAGCAGGCTCCCCATCTACTGCACATGGCTTCACCGTGTCTCCTTCAGGCTGAGCATGGTGACCTCTTGGTGCCCAAACAAGTCTGATGGGAGAAGGTATTTTAGTACTTAGCACTGATGTGGAAAGACAAGGTTGAGGTGAGATGTGATGGGCTTTCTAAATTCCTCTCGGTAGCTCCTTTCTAGAGAAGGAGTGGGTGGGGAAATGGAAACCAAAAGAGGGATCTGTGGTCCAGTAGGATAGGATAGAAAAATGGGAGATGGCTAAAGTTGGGTGCTGCAACTTCTGGGTTCTTTTTTCAGCTCTGGAAAAGGATGGGGTATGATGGATGAAAGCAAAGAGGATTGTGAGGCAAAACTCTGAGGTCTCTTTCAGACTTTGCCACAAGCTGCTGTCTTGGGGACTTTGTGAAAATGCTGCCCCCCCTCCCTCCCCCCCACCCGTCCCAAGCTGTTCCATCTGTAGATGGGAAATAGTGATTCTCAGGAACAGCTTGGAAAGTAGTTTAAGGCTCCTCAAAGGTATCAGAGCCACAGAAGCACAAGGAATCATGCTGCTCTTCTGAGAACAGTCTCCTCTACTTGCCTCCCCTCCAGCTCAGTCCTATGTGTGAGTGCATGTATACAGATATGTGTTTGTGTTGTGCCTTCCTGCCATGGTGCATGTGCTCTGACATGACTTCTCTCCATCAAATGTTCCCTCCTCCAGAACCAGGCAGAGGCCCATTATAAAGGCCACAAACATGCCCGGAGACTCAAAGCCATAGAAGCCATGAAGAACAAACAGAAAATAGCAGCGGCAACTACCACCACCAGCCAGGAGAAGCCAGCCGATTTCCCTGCCACCCTGGATGGGAGTGGGGATCCCAGCAGCACAGGTGAGGAGACTGCAGGCCTGCCATGGCTTTAGAGCTCACAGAGGGGAACGCTGACCTCTGGGATTTCCAGCATCCGGGGCTTTTGGCCTTGAACTTGTACCAGACAGTTTGCACTGGGGGAAGGATGGAGGGAGGGGGATGCAGGCAGAGTCAATGCCAAATGTTTCCTGTCATAATAATTCCCCTGGGATTAACAGACCCATGAAATTCTTAATGTATCTCCATAAGGAGCAGCACTCTGTCCAAATAGCAATTAACATCATGCTGGCACTGGTCAAAAGCAGCATCTGCCTTGCAACTGACAGCAGTGCTAGCAAGCGGGAGGCTCAGATAGCCACAGGGGCTAGGCAGAGCCTGCAGGGCCATTCTGCTCTAGGTCACTGGTTCGAGTCTCACCTGTGTTGGTAGTGACTTGGTGACCCTTGTATAAAGTGGGCCTGGGACGTGTAAGTCCCAGAGGCTATCAGCTCTGACCTAGCCACCTTCTTGGGGCAGATGCCTATGGCCCAACACCTCCCCACATATAGTTAGCCCTAACTATCATCTAGCTGGCAGCCTGTTCACTGTGCATTGCAATCTCTCTCTGTTGCAAGTAGTTGGGGTGGAAAAACCTCCTTTAGCATTGCATCGGCTTCTGCAGGAGGCCCATGCTCATCATTCCCCCAAGGGCACATGTATCAGCCAAAGGGCTGAGAACAAGCAGTGCAAATTACCAAACCCAGGGGAATCAGACCCCTGTGAGAATAGGCGCAGTTCAGTATTTACAAGGAGGTTTTTGTAATGATAACTAATGATGCTGTTGTTAATGACAGCCTTTTCCAATGATGCCGCAACATTTGTATTAATAACACTGCTGTGGCTGCAATATCATAAATAGCCTGATTAAGTCCTGAGCAGCTGCCAGGTATATACAGTGGCCTTGTATATGGGCACCCGTTGATTGTTAGCTGCTAATCAGGCTAAAGAGGGCTGCGATTAGTAAGGCAATAAAGCTCTTAGTTATAAATGTTTCTTCTGGGCTGAGGGAGGAGTGAGCAGAATTGAGGGCGGAGTGAGCGACACTTGGACTGCATTGCTTTTGTGGCTTTGTATCAATTCAGTGGCAAAAAACTGGCCAGGACCCTTGGGCTGGGACTTCTGCGTGCCCATCTCTAAGACCCATATCAGGATTTGGTGCCGGGTATTGTACAAGCATAAGAGTGCCTCAGAGAGCTTCCCATCAAAGTGTGAAGAAAGCCCAACAAGAAGGGGAGTGGTATGAAATACATCAGGGTGGGAGAAGGACAAAGGAAGCAGGCGCACAAGGCAGAGGCTCGCTAGCCAGCACTATGTTTAAGGGGAAGGCTGGCCTTGGGATGGAAGGTACTGGATTTGGGGCTAAAGGGTCGTTGGGTCAACATAAGTTTCTGCCACACTCAGACTGCCTGTATAACCTTGGGCCACACAGCCTCTGCTACTTATCCACTCTGGACTTTGGGTCCCCAGTCACAAAAAGGTGGAGAGTCATACAGCCCAAAGTACTTCCCACCTTGTAGCAGAGGACTACAAGCTCCTCAGGCAGGAGCTTCCTCTCATCCTGTGTCTATGCAGCACCCAGCACTGGGGGCCCCTGACCCCTGATAAAGACTCTAGGTACCACCTTAAAACTAATGACAAGAGAAGTGAAGTTCCTCACAGCGCAGGTGTCCCTTGGCTATTAGCTGTAACTTAGCAAAGAGGAGAACCACAGCTCTATTAGGATACCATTGGGCAGGAACCGTCTTTCTGTCCTGTGTTCATACAACTCCCATCACCTGGTCCATGTCTGGGCCCCCTGTAAAGATGATAAATAATAGCTAATCTCAGCAGGACTTTGCCTCTGGCTTCTGTAAAGCCAGGACTCTGTCTGAGGTTTTTTGCTGCTATGCGTATTGTTCAATAACCCACAGTCATTCCAGAGGCTCCTGCATAGTCATTACTGGAGAAACAAGCCAGTACAGACTTTTACCTGGACAACAGCCCTTCCCCTGATGCCAGACTTCACCTGGCCCCAGGAATTAGCATCCTCAGTCATTTGCCTATAAACCAATGAGCCTCGTGCCATACCTCTTTCTGTGGCCGCACAGTAGGAGAGGGGCCCTTTGCTTCCCCTCCCTTCAGCTCACTTTGATAGCATGTCTGAGGGCAGCTTTTCAAACCAGAGATAACTGCCATAGCAAATGAAGCATCTGCTTTGAGCTCAGCATGCCAGATAACAGCCTGACTGTCCCACTAGGACTCTGCCTTTCTGTTGGGTGGAGGAGGCCAACAGAAAGAGTATCTCCTCCCAAAGCGACAGATGCATTAAAGCTAATCATGGCTTTTTGTGTCAAGGATGTTACTGATGAGTCGCAGATCAAAGTGCTAACGGGAAAGGCCCTTGGGTACATTGGGGTTTGCCAGGGTCGACTTGCAGATGGAGCATGGCTGGGTTGGCCTTGGTGATATGGGGAGGGGATCTGGGCAGCAGGCTTTTGAGGCTTTGGTGCTGTTCCAAAGCTGAAAGTCCTTCAACTAACAGGATTGCTTCTCCCTGTGCCCATTCCCTTTTCATTAGTCCAAGCCAATGGCCTCCTGGCGCTGAAGGAGCCAGATGCTGAGTGCAGCAGTCTCATGCTGACACCCACCTCAGAGGAGTCCTCAGCTGAGCTGCCCAGCAGCATCCCATCCCTGGTCTCCCCACCTGTTTCAGAGCTGTCAGAGGGTGCTTCAGATGCCACCAGTGTGGCCTCTTCAGCAGCGCAGGGTGCTGAGCCCCAGGCAACAGAATTGGCCAGCAGTGTGAGCTCAGCCCCTGACAGTGAGAAGGAAGGGAAGAAGAGCAAGCCACACCTCTACTGTCCCACCTGCAAAGTGACCGTCAACTCCCTGTCCCAGCTGGAGGCCCACAACACTGGTAAGCGGCTCATCGCTAGTATAACTATAACTATACTTACCTACTACTTGTAGACATAACTGTGATGAAGAATGCCCTCATGTCACTTTACCAGAGTAGATAAGCAGACTGGTTTATACAGGACTGGACTCCTGGTTTCTATTCCCAACCCCATGACAAAGCACAGTTCAGTGGTCAGAATAGGGTCAATGGAAAATCAGGACTCCTGGGCTCTCTTTCTAGTCATAGCCAGGACTGTTGGGGAATGTGGCCTAATGGATAGAAGAGGTTAGGGGCAAAGTCAGGACTCCTGGGTTCTGTTCTTGATTCATCCTCTGACAGGCAGCATGACCTCAAGCATGTGACTGTCCCTTCACCTCACTGTGCTTCAACCTCCCGATATGTAAAATAGATCAGGGCAAACCCTAATGGGTGGTTGTGAGGGTTAATTAATAGTGCTTTACGCAAAGGGGTTAGTTCATGTGACCTTCAAGTAGAAGGTCAATGTGTCCATTCCATAACTGAAAGGGTGAATTTTAGCAAGGACAAATTCACCTTTATTGTTACATCTCTTAATTAAAAGACATTTTCAGGCACGTTTAATCAAGTGATTAGAAGCTGCTTTGCATTCCTGGCAGCCTTCCTTTAGGCTGATAGGGACCTGAAGGGGAAAAGCCTTCTACAGGCTCCTCTTCCTAGACCCAGGGCAGCATTTGAAAAGCACCCATTGCAAGGGTTGCGTTAAGTCCCATTTTCACAAGTGATGTTGGCAGTTAATGAGACCTGGTCTCTGATTCAGCCACTTAGGGACCGTAAAAAAGTTAATGCCAGAGCTCCCCCTCATGTCCTACACAAGCCAGGCACTTTCTCTCCTTTTGGCCGTGGTGTGTTATTCACCTCAGAAAAAAAATGCACATAGAAAATGAGGGGGAACACGAGCTCTTTGGAACAGGGACATGCTTTGCTCTGATTATACAGTGCCCAGCACAATGAGGATCCATATGAAGACTAATGAACTAATCTGTTCAAGAACCCTGTCTCTATCATGTGCAAAACTTTAGAGCTGCAGGTCAGGACCAGCACTCTGTCTCTCATGGATCAGGGGTTATGAGATGTAATTAGATAATGCTTGTAAAGCACTTTGAATGAGAAAAATAGGCCCTGATATAAATTCCTCCTTCTCCTTTAGTATGTGGGAGGCTGAGAGCTGTCGATAGGCAGGCAGACACATTGTGTTATGCAGGCAGCATTCAAGTTGTCACATGGAGAATCAGCCTCTTATGGAAGGTGGAAGAGTGGCAGGTGATAGATCTCTTCCTTTATATGAGTTTAGGGGCTGCTGGCAATGACACTTTCTGAACTTTGGAGGACAGGGACCTACCTGGGCTCTTAAAAATAAGGAGCAAGATCCAACTTACCTGGGCAGGTTGCAAGGTATGGTTTGTTCCTGGAACACTGGGCTGTGCTGCAGCAGAGGAGGAGAATGCAGTACTGGTGACCCCCAGTGGCTTTTGAATCCTCTGAAGCCCTGTGCTGCTCACTGAAAATGTTTCTTCCTGTCCATGATGGGTAAGAAATACAGAGATTTCTTGCACCCTGTTTTAAAGGAAAAGACACTCACATTCTGTGAGAGCTGGAAATGAACCCTCCCCCTAGCCCCACATAACCTCTGAGTCACAGCCATGCTGGGCCATGCAGCTTCCTGCACATCACAAAGGTCACGAACAGGAAAGGCAGTGAAGGGCAGAACCTCAGGCCGAACTACAGAAGTGGCCTTTTGCCTTGATCGGCTCAGATTATAAAATTGGGAATTTATTTGGGGGGAAAAAAAAATGAACAAACAAACAATTGCTGTAGCACTGGCACCAGAGGTAGCGTCAGTGGGATCCCATGCTTTTAGTTTAAAATAAAAGGGGTTGCTGGCTGTTTCCTACCATTTGTTAATGGACATATGTTGTCAGAACATAAGAAGTGCCATACTGGGTCAGACCAACGATCCACCTACCCTAGTAGCCTGTCTCCGAACTCCTGGTCAGCCTCCTCATGGCCCTTGCTAAGTTGGCCATCTATCTGACCAGGAAGGAGGTTCTGGCCTAGAGGACCCCTGGTAACTGTGGAGCCATCTTTCTGTCCCTGGATATTCATGTCTCTGGGTAGAGTATCACTGAGCAGTGTCCATTGGCTCCCTAGACTTGTTTGAGGGCCAGTGGACACTGACCAGTGTGCTCTGCTTAGTGTCCTCCCTTGGAGCACTTGTTATTAACCTTTGACTCTTGCTCCTCTCCCTGTTTTTGCATTGGTTGTCCCAATAACTCTGTTGCTGTACCCTCAGTAGGCCCTTTTAGTAACAGATGGGACTAGCTGTTCCTGTATGGACACATACCCACATCTGTATGTGCATCAGATAGACCTGTCTCCAACAGTAGCAGAACTGGATGCTATAGAGAGAGAACATCAAACCAGATATCCCTAGTGTGATCTATCCCTTATTCAGTTCCCTCCTGGGCATCTGCCATTTATTGGTTTAGAGATGCCAGGCCCCAGAACGGCTTTCTAAAACGTTTCACACTTCATAAGGTTTCCACTTCTTGGTTGCTGCTGATGACTAGAAAACAGGACCCCTGGGTTCCACTCCCAGCTCCATGCCTACAGCCTGCTGGCGGTTAGTGGAAGCGGGGGAATGGGAGCCTGGATCCTTAGGTTCTGTTCTTTACTCTAATGCCAAATCACTGAGCTTGGGGCACTGCTCAGATGCTACAGCATTGACGGACATTTATATGTACCTCCCTAGATTGCAGTTCATATTTAGGTACCAGGTGATGTACACTGGTCAGTTTAGAGTGGCAATGGTCCTGAAGGTCTGACCCCGTAGAAAGGGAAGTTCTCAAGGAAGCCTGGGCAGCACAATCCTGGATGTGGGTGAGTTATTCAGCCAGCCACTGAGTCTTTGGAAACCGCAGAGGGGAGAGATGGAGAATGAGTCATTGCTCCCATCCAGAGTGTCAGTTTTCACTGGTTTAGTGATAGTTAGCTGTGAACAAAATCTCTTAGTTTAAGGTGTCTGCAGTTCCTGTCACAGACTCCAGAAACCGTGAGGGAGGAAACTGCTGAAGGCTTAGAAGCCAAAATACACAGGGGCTGCTGAGCCATCGTTCTGACACAGAAGCCATCTCCAGTGTCCTCAGAGTTAGGGCACCTAACTGGCTTCTGTTTCCAGCTCTGCCACTGACCTGCTAGTGACCATAGCCAAGTCCACACCTTTGTCCCCATCTGTACAATATTAACCTTTCCTGTGGTATGCTTTTAACCCAGGAGTGGGCAGTTATCTTGGCTAGAGGGCCATTTAATCAATTTTAGTGTCCTTTCAAAGGTCATGTGAGTTTTGGTATCCTCTTGAGGGCCACATCACTCTTTCTCTCCCTCCCCTCCACTTCCCACCCCGAGTTGCAGCGTGCCCTGCTCCCCCTGCTTCTTGCCCCCTGCCCCCCTCCCAGAGCTGTAGCATGCCCCATCCCTGACCCAGAACCTGCCGGCCCCATCCACAGCTTACACCACCACCTGCCTCATGTTGCAGAAGCAGCCCTGGGCGGGCATTGGCATCAGCTGTGGATGCAGTTTCATGTGGGGATCCGGGCATTTGCCTGGGCCCACAGTTGATGCCACCACATCAGTGCTGGGTGGAAGGAGCCCACCCAGCATGGTGGAAACAGTCCTGCCCACCTGCCCAGCACCAAGTGGTGGCTGAAGCCAGAGCTGCCAGCTGCCTTGGGCTGCCTGCGGGCCTTATCCAATGAGTTGGTGGCCACCTGCCCACGGGCCAGATACAATCAGTTGGCAGGCCAGATCCAGCCCACAAGCTGTATTTTGCTCACCCCTGCTTTAAGATCTCTAGATGACAAGCTTATGGTAAGAAGCTCTGCTTGCTGTTGAGCAGACACTGCCTGTTTTCAGCTCTGGGAACTACCATCTGTAAAGCCAGACATCTCCAAACAGCACAGCCCCCCCTCCCCAGAGTGGGAGTTGTTCTCTCTCTGTGTGCAGACCATAGATTGCTATAACTGAGTCTCAAGACGGGGGTCTCTTGTTCTGTAGAGAAGAGCTGTATCAGGTCACCCACAAAGCTTTTTTTCTTGTAGCAGAGTTGAATGGAGACAGGCTTCACCTCCCCTTGAACTGAGCCAGTCCTCACTGGTAGTCTGTGTGTCACACAAGCTTGCACCCCTGCAGGCCGAGCCAGAAGGAGCCACACTCAGTGAGCCCTAGCTGGGAAATACTGTGTAGATCTCCTATTCCTTTCCCCTTTGGGAGTGCTGCTGAGTTTGACTCGCTTCTGTCCTACGTCTGACTTCTGAGTCCCACCAGTTATTGGCAAATCTCCGGTGCTTTTAGCTAGAATTACAGAGGTCATTATATAAAGGCCAGTGCAGATTGTCTTGAAGGCATGTGACTCCCCACAGGATCCCTGGGTCCCACCACCCGGCTCTGGGGAGAACCCAAGGCACCCATTCCTGGATGTCACCCAGAGGGCACTCAAGAAAGACCTGATCTCTTTGGCACTGCTCCCCACCACCCCTTCCGTCAGAGTCAGCCCTATTTTCTCATATTACTAGTGCCCAAAATTGAAGCAGGCTCAGCACGCCTGCCCAGAACCTGATACCCAGGAGGATGAGAGCTTTATCTATAGGCTCAGAGACTGAACTCAGGGAGAAATGCTGAGCTAGCTGGCTTGGGAGATGGTTTCCAGTGATTACCTCTGCTTACATTGTATCTTAATGACACAACATGCTGGGCACCAAGTGTCCGGCTGCTTGGTGCAGTGAGCAGAGATGCCCTTGGACAGCACTGGACATCATTTCCTCTGGCTCCTTGACCTTTATTAGTGCAACACCTGCTCACACCTCTCCACCTATAGTCAGAGCAGCCAGCACAGTTCTGCCTTCTGTTCATAACTTGAACGTGCAGTATTTACTCTAAGCTGGAGCTCCACACAGGAGGGCTGGGGCAACATGAAATCATAGAGTGCACTTGCTGTTTCACCTGGCACTGTGGTTCTCCACTCATGCAAACCTATGCCAGTCTGATTGTAGGGATTGCTGGTCCAGGGGAGAATGCTTCAGAGAACTGGGATTGTTTTGGCTTCCCTCGCTTGACACTGAGACCTGGATTCTCTGCTTGGCTTTGCCACTGGTTTATGTTACCTTGAGCAAGTCACTTCCTTCCCTGTTCCTGGTCTCCCCTGCCATCGCAGAGTTTTTTTTTTTGTGTGTTCTGCATGAAAGAGGGCATGCTGCTGGGGTTTGTGTATAAATAACACAGCCACGGGTGATATTTTCAGATAACCATCATGGTAAATTTGAGGGCAAAGCACACACAACTCCTACACTGCATTTAGCAACAGCATCTTCACCTTAGTCAAGGCACCTGGTCCCTTTGCTTAAAGACTTTCATTTTCCCCCTGCTGTCCAGGAGCCAAACACAAGTCCATGCTGGAGGGTCACACCACCCAGATGCGGCGGGGCCGAGGCAAGGTCCTCTCCCGGGCAGGACACAAGTCCAAACGGATTGGTAACAAGGGCAGCATCAACATCCAGAACAAGGCGTTCCACTGCCAAGTGTGTGAGATCTACGTGAACTCGGAGACCCAGCTTAAACAGGTGATGGCTCTAGCCCTCCTCTTGCCTGGTGAAATCTTCCCTTTCAGTGTCTGTCCTTGGAAATACCAGGATATAGGGATAGAGGAATCTGTGATGCCTGTAAAAGGCCCACCCACAGGAATTTCCACAAGTGGTGGAGTGAGGCATATCCTTCCTCCAGACCCCTTCAGTACATGTTTGGGGGTGGGTCTCTTGACATGTATAGTCCCATTGGAAACAACCCTAGCCTCTCCTCTCCCCAGAACACCTCACTGCAGGTGGCACCCTGCAGAGCCCAGCTCCCTGAAGAAGAGGTTGAAATGCCTCTTTGCCTGGACCTTACAGCTCCTCCCCTGTATGGGGAAAGATTGGTCCTTCCAATTTTTATACGTTTGCAGGGTCACAGAACAGTGGAGCAGAGGAAGTGGGGGGATGGGTGGGAATTAGCTGATGGAGAGAATGAAAAGATTAGACAGTGCATTGAAATGGATCCTGAGAAATTGATTCATTTATGTAAAATCATGCTTAATTCTGAGAAAAGAGGCAGCAGCAATGACACTGCGGGAGGGATAGAATGGAGCCCAAGGTAAGGAAAAGAGCTATCCCTAACGGCAGTCACACAGTGGCAGATATTTGCCTTCTAATGGCTGAACTATGCATAGAGGGCAATGAGTCCAGTATCAGCTGCAGGCTAGGTGGCCTGATTCTGTACTTCAGTCAGTAGAGAGGTGGCACTCTGTGGTCCCGGGTTCAGCTCCTGCTGATGATTATGTTGAGGCCATTGTCGCCTGCATGGTGCAAATCCCAGAGCCAAGACATCAGAAGCAAAGGATGTGTTATGGAATGACAGAGAATGCACTGAATGTGCAGTTCCATGTACAAGTCTCCCATAGGGCAGGCACAGAGCAGGGCTCCAGAGGGTCATTCCTGGGGACAGTGGGTTTGCCAGTAGATTTCCCAGTCCCTGTGTGACCCTCTGGCTTTCCCACCCACAGCACATGAACAGCAGGAGACACAAAGACAGGCTCGCTGGGAAGCCGCCCAAGCCAAAGTACAGCCCATACAATAAGCTGCAGAAGAACGCTGCCCTCGCAGTGAGTATTCTCAAGGTATCTGTCTTCCAGCAAACTTCCTTCTGGTGTGTTTGTCTAGAATATTGCTTGCAGCATTTGCTGACTCTTGTGATATTACTGCAAGATCTGTGATATTTGCGCGGGGGGAGGTGGCCTTAAAGCCCCAGCCCCTGGAGTCCTCTAACTGCATCCTAATCTCCACTCCCTATGGGGGGGGGGGCAGTTTCTAGCCCCGGTTATCGTAAATGAAAAGCTTGAAGAGAAGGCTCCTAAAGATAAATAAAAAGAGCACAAGGTTTATTATTTTTCAAGGCTTCCACGCCAGCGTAATGATTTTGTAAAGGTGCCATTTTGTGATTGTTGAAAGCTTGGAGCCAGCGGTGCTGTTTTTCATCTGACATCAAGCTCCAGGGTTTGTTTATAGAAGTTGACACAGATCTGTCTGTAATGCAGCAGCAAGTCCAGAGGCTCATCCCATCCCTGGGACTCAGTGGGAACACTGCTCATTAGCCTAATAACACTGCGCAGTAGCGTGTCATGGCAAAACCTGTGCTAATAGCCTACTGCACGGTGTTATTAGGCTAATGCACAGTGAACATCACTAAATAACCATGCACTGGTGTTACTATGCAGTAACTCTAGGTATTGTGCATTTAGTTAGTACTTTATTAAGGAAGTACTAAACTAAATGTGCAGTATCATAAGGCACATTAATGAACGTGTAGACATGCCCAGTAACAAGGATCAGCAGTTTTGGCCCTTGTTTCTTGCTTATTGTTCCCATAGGGGAAGTCCAGCTGCTTTTATTGTCAGGAGGCAGGTCAGCTTAAGGCTTCCATGGAGGGCTCTCCTCTGCATCCATTCTTGGCAAGGGATCTGAACAGAGGATCTCTTTAGGCTTTCTATAGGGGGCTGGGAAGGAGTTAGCTTTGATCCATAGGCTGGCTGAAATGATCCGAGAGAGGGTTGTGGTTGTCAGTGTTCAGATAGACTCAAGCCAGTGCTGTGTGGTCCTTTCCACACTGGAGGGTGACTCCAATCTGATGCCATATCAGCTAATGTGGCTGATACACACTAATATATGTAAAAGCAAGCATCTGGGCACAGTCATCCAGTAGGTCTCCCCCCTCCCCCCACAATGTTCTCAGTATTTTTAAAGAGACACTATTGAGACCCCACCCAGTTTCACTGCTTTCCAAACAGCTCCATTTTGTCTGTCCTGTCAGCTGCAATGAGATCAGGTCTTTGCAAATAGCTCCCCAGGTAGGGGAGCATCTCGGAGCAGAGGAAGGATAAATTACCACTGGAGCAGTTCCCAGTGAACACCGTCACCCAGCAGGGAACCAGGACCTGGGACATGTGAACCCAAGTGTACAAGATGCCACCATGATCTTGGAAGAATTCTTGGCATCTTCCTGGAGTTTCAGGAACACTCTTTGGTTTCCCCTCCTCCTTGGATCAGCAGTGCCCTTTTTTTGCAAGGAGACAGCTGGTGAAAATGTACTGGTGGAGTCCTTTCAAGGACAAACCTGTCAGCAGCAGCTCCTTGAATTAATGGACTTGCAGCTGAGTGTCACAGGAAATAGCAACCTGGATTCATAGGTTTAAAAGGCCAGAAGGGATTGAAGGGGTCCTCTGGTCCAGCCTCCCACGCTAACCAGCCAGAGAGCCTTGATCGATGATTGATGTGTAATGGCTGAGCTAGGGCAGCAGATCTCTTAGGAAGGCATCTCTCTGTGAGCTGTCAGCCTCACAGAACAGGTCACGGCTTCCTGGGCCTCTGGATGTTGTCTAAAACCTGAAATGGTGGTTCAGGTTAGGTACCAAAATGCCAGCACTTTGGATGGATTCTTTATTGGGGTTGAGGGGCTGTGGCCAGAGATCTGGTGAAAGTCAAAAGATTCAAAACGGAGGTGTGGAAATGCCTCTCTCCATACACAGATGTGCACAGAATGCACCATGAGCCTGGGGAACACAGCCACAAGGTAACGTGAGGGTCAGGATTCCCCAGAGCAGCCACTGCTAGCTGTGGCTGGAGACAGGATGAAGGACTAGATGGGTTCCTGGCTTGAGCCAATGGAGCAATTCCTGTGAGGCAGAAGCAGGTGACTATATTAAATCTCTGTTTCTGAGACCATAGGCCTGTAATTGGACTAGCCCTGAGCCTGAGGCTGGGCACAGCTATCCCCCAGAGGGACAGCAGGTATATAGACCTCGTCTCCTGCAAGTGGGTGGTTCATGTGCTTTCTCCCTTTCTCTTTCTCTGTCTCTCTATTCCCTCTCTGCAGTCCAAGCTGGCTTTGCAGAAGCATCTCACCAAAACCTTGGCGACCCGCTTTCTCCCAAGCCCGCTCACCACGGCAGCTGTGTGCGCCATGCCCAGCCCCCTCGCCCTCCGACCAGCTGCTGCCACCACCCTCTTCCAGGCCCCGATCCTTGGACCAGCACTCTTCCGAACCCCACCAGGCCATGTCCGTGCCACGCCGGGCCCCATCGTCTTCGCGCCCTACTAGAATCTCCCAGCCTCGAAGGCTCCATCTGTTACAGACGTGGCTAAAACCCAGGGGAACTATGCAGTAAGGGGCAGCCCTCTTGGGACAGGTGGTTGTCCTGATGAAAGGGAAGAGTATTTGTAAACCTCTCTCAAGGTTTTTCTTTCGCTCCTAGAGGCTTTAACAAGGTTCCCAGTGGACTAGAAGATTCCCCAGCTGACACTTCTGACAACCCCAGCTGTGCACCCCTTACCCTCCACCTGCACTCCCAACACCCGGCCTAATTTGCCATGCACTTGCTCAGTGGAACACATCCCTGCATGCAGCTGGATTTGATTCAGTGACAAAGATAGTGCCAGGGCCACCAGCCCCTCCTGGAAAACCCATTTATTCTCATAGCCAGCAGGGGTTTCTGTCTTAGTTTATCATTTACCCCCTTTGACCCTTCATAATTATTAAAGTCAGTCTCATCAGGGCAAAGGGCTCAAGGGATAGGAAGGGCGTCCATCTCTGGCTGCCTGATTCAAGGCCAGCTCAGCATGGTAGCAGTCTCAAAATCATAGTTCCTGGCTGGCCATTCTGCAGCCCAATGCAGTGAGTCTGTGAGGTGGATCTCACACCAGGTGTTAGCAGGACAGAAACCAGCCCCTCACTGCCCTTTCCTCAGATGCAGCTGTCCTTCACGGGCACGTGCCCGCTGCACACCAGAGCGTGAGACCCATTGGTGAAGATTGCTGCCTCTGCTGCCCTGATTCTAAGGCTGCAGGTGGAGCATGAGTCTTCAGCTCTGTTAGCCTGGTACACTTCACCAGCCCCAAATTCCTAGGAGAGAGAAACCGAGACAGACACCAGCCAGATTCTGATGGCATTTTTGCTTCGGGAATGAGTAGGGAACCCCGGGGCACCTCCATAACAGAGTCCTCTTTCTTGCTCCCTTCAGAAAGCACATTATCTTCCACCATAGCAACAGTGGAGCACAGTGGAGAGCAGCAAATTTTGAGCGGGAGCCTAGTCTACTAGTTAGACAACAGAACTCTTGGGGTCAGTCCCAGGTCTGGAAGCACTGTGGTCTAGGAGTTAGACAGCAGGACTGGGGGAGTCAGAACACCAGCGTTCTCTTCCCAGTTCAGTCAAGAGGTGTAGCATGATAGTAAGAGAACAGCCTCTTAGCCCTAGGTTCTGTTCCCAGCTCTGCCACTGACTCCCCGTATGCCAAGGTGTTCACCTCTTTGTGCCTCAGTTTCCCCCCCTACTAAGCAGGGGATGATTCTGTCCCTACCTCGCGGGAGAATGCTGTGAGGCTGAGCAAAGGTTCCTAAAGCGCTTGGTGGTTCTCCAATAAAAGGGGCTGAGGAAGGACAAAGTATTACCATTATTCACAGGCCAGCAGACTACCTGACCCCATCAAATCAGGAGCTTCCAAGGAGTTACTATCCACCCTATAGGAATCAGAGGTGCCCTGGTTACAGAATCCAGACAATCAAGAATAAAAGAGCAGTTGCATTTAATAAACCCTTGGCCCTCTCCCTCTAATGCTCTCCTTGCAGCTTGCAGAACTTGGGGCCCTGGCAGGGCAGTGGAGGAGTCGAACAGAAGAAAACGCAGAAGGAATTGTTTTGTATTTCACTGTGTTAAAAGATCCGGCAATGACCTGGTCTAAAAACCGTTCACAGGGCACTCGGGGCCCCTGCCCACCTGTCCCCCTAGCGCAACCTGTCAGTAGAAACTGGCAGGAAGGTGGCAACCCCAACAGACGTTGTGCCGGAATGACCACCCATCCTGATCTATGCAAATCCAAATGGAGCAACCCGGCCACTGTGTGACCCTGTCTGCGTTCTACTTTGGTGCTCACTCTGTGCACTGAGGAATGTCATTTGAAATGGAAATTCAGTGATGCAACACATAGAACCATGCAGGTGCTTCCCAGAAAGCCTCAACTCCCTCAGCCCTACAACAGGTTCCCATCACAGGAGCTGCCTGGTGATGCCTTCCAGAAGGCCCCTGGGGCCCCAGAGACAGGCCAGGGGCTGATATGTGTATCCGGAGACCCACAAGCACATGATTAAGATGTCTTAATTTTGAAGGAGAAAGGAAATGAGTTTCAGGAGGTATTTGCTACAGCGTAGGGAGGGCCCTGCTAGGCTGAGCAGCAGGACACTGCCCTGACACTGGCTCTGAGGAGCCCAGGTTGCTGTGTTCCTAATTTACGGAGCATATGGATCTGCTACAGCCTTCTCCTCCCTGACCTGCTGCTTCTCCTCAGGCTGTAGGGGCTCCTGGAGGTGCCTGTTTCCAGTCCCACTGTTGGCCAAGAGGGAATCAGTCACACCTGTACAGCAGTCCCTCCTCTGCTTTTGTAGGGGCCTTCAGTGCCACTGTGCAGACCTCTGCCACTTGAGTAGAAGTAGATTGTTACTCTCTCTCATACAAGGCAGTAGAGGGGTAATAGGAGCACATAGCAAGGGCACTGGAGGCTTCTTGGGCTGAATGTGGTTGGGGGAAGCGTATCATCTCCCCCTGCCCCTGTTCAAAGGGAAGGGAGCTGGTGCAGTAGATGGGCCCAGAGGTGGGGAGCAGCTTGAGGGAGAAAGAGGGACCTGACAGGCATTGTGTGGGAGGGGAATGGGAAAGGGGACTCAGCTAGGGGCTGAGTGCTGGGTGGCTGACCCTGCTGGGAAGGCATTTGGGGATGTCTGGGCAAGGGGAATTGTATTTTGATGCTAGTTTTCCTGGATGCCTGGGGATGGAGCTCAGGGTTGATCTTTTTTGTTTGATATTTGGCTTTCCATATTTCCCAGGGAACTTTGCAACCCGCCTCATTTCACCCCACCCCAAGTCTCCTGGGATGAATTACCCCTTCAGAGACCAGCAACCCACCTGCACCCCCAACCCCACAGAGCTCGGCGCAGCAGAGGCGAGCTCTCAGCCAGGCGCCTGCCCAGGGAGCTGGTCTGTGCAGCAGAGTTGCAAGGGAACAAAGCCAGCTAGAGGAATAGGTCCCCCTGCCCCAAGTTGCAGGCCCTTCTTTCCACTCCCTACAAAGCCCAGAGCAGGTGTAGGGCCTGCCATTGGGCAGAGCCTCCCCTTCTAAGCCATGGAGGGGACAATGTGATGGAAACCCAGCATTTTGCTGAGATGTATCCCAGAGGTCTTCTAATGCCCATCAGCTCCCAGGTAGCCTGAGTATCCGCCACTTTCACAGCCCTCTCTGTGCCTCTGCTTTGCTCACTCTGCCCTACACACTACCTGAGTGGTCCTTCTAGTGCCCTCTCCCCCATGCACACACAGTGCTGGCTTTGAGAATTCAGGAAGCAGACAGCTTGAGCCAGGCTTCTCCTTACGAGACCCCAAAAAGCACCACAGTGGTCTCCCCTCACAAGCCCCCCCAGGCTGTGTTGTTGACACCTGTGCTGGACTTTCCTTTGGAGCCAGTGAGTCACCTAATGGCGCCAGGGCCTGATATACTCATACACTCAGCACTTTAACCCCTTTAAAGCCATTCCTTCTATGAATAATACTGCGATGAGCTGCTTGAAACCACGCACCCTCATCTCCTATGCCCCTGCACCACCAGAGTCCCCCTGTCTACTCCTATGCTCTCCAAAGCGTTAACTGCCTTTGACTTAGCATATACTGTAGTAGCTAGTAGGGCATAGTGCGTAGCTCTCGAGAACGTGTGCCCCTCTGTACATAACCTTGGAGTGACGTGAACAATGTTTGATTAAACAGAAATAAAAGAAACCAAACCTCACACATACAAAATAAAGACTCTAGGGACTTGGCCAGTATCTCCCCTCCACCCCTCTGTACTGTTCACTGTATATTTTTTGATGTACTATAACTGTTGGGGAAAAAAAAGGAAAATATTTTGATAATCAAATCTCATCGCTTTATTGTGTTACTCAGTAAATAAAAGGAACAAGTATAACTGAGCCTGGCTCTCCCTGTGCCTTCATTTGGGAAACTGGCCAGTGGGTACGGAGAGGATGTCAGTGGCAAGAATAGGTGCCCTGCCCAAGTTTCAGGCCCGTCATGCTGTAGATATCAGAGGGTGTGGAATAGCCCATCCCCAGTGGCTCAGAGCAGTGAAGACTTTACTCAGCTGGCCAAAGGCCACGGGAGGGAGCATGGTGGCGTGGGTCAGGATGTGCACTGAGGACATGAGAGATCTTTGTTATGTTGTTAACTCAGATGTGTGGCCTAGGGTGGGTGCATCCCTCCCTGGTTAGTCTGTGAGCTCACTGGCTCACTTGTTTTGTGTCGAAACAGCACTCAGCATACACTGATGGCCACAGCCAGCTTGAGTGACCTTATTGTACATACATGAAGGAGCCTAAGGGTTGTTGTGCACAGAGGGGATGCAGCCTGCAGCTAACCTCTTTAATTCAGAAAGGCAGCCCACAAAGGCTTCATAGTCCATCCCTTCATGCTTCCCTACCTTGGCAGCAGGCAGTCCCATGACCCTCACTCCCCCCCAAATCAAGCTGTGGAGCCCACTGGCCCTCAGGGCCCTATGCCATCTTGGACACAGGCTGCAGCCAGTCCAGCTCCGGCTGATCAGTGCTCCAACTGGACCCTGCTTTTGCCCTCAAATCAGTGTCTCTGCCAGAGCCTGGTTAGGGGTGGAGCTGCAGCCAAGTGGGGCTTTGGTGAGTTAACCCTTTTAGTCCCAACCCAGCAAAAATCCCAAGTGAACAGGTGGTGCCTGCAAAGCTGGCTATAGCTGAAGAGGCAATGCAGTCAAACAAATTACCCCTGACCATAGCTGAGCCCTTGGGGCAGATAGATCAGATGCCCTTCTCTCCCTTGTAGAAAATGGCTTCCTGCCACTAGTCTTGCCAGCAGCAGACAGTTATAGCCTGACAGCCCTGGAGCAGTGCATTCCCCAAAGGGTTAAAGGTGACATTTCCATAAGGCCAAGGCAACACCTGGTCACTGGACCTAACAGTGGCTGGCTTCTCTGAAGAGCTGAGCTCATTGTACCCTCTTATTGGGCATTAAGGGGCACAACTGGTCATCCAGAGCCAAAGCTACCCAGCTACATGGCTCAGCAGCCTCTTCCACCCCCACCCCCCTGCAAGCAGCAGGAGAGAGGGGATCCTGGCACCTCTGACAACAGTAAGTAATGCCATGAGAAATAAGAAAGCACTGGCCAATTTCCCTGGCTCTAGGAAATGGCCTAACAGGGCCGAGTTGGGGTGCAGAGCTATTCAAGGATACCATGGTGACCCCAGCTGTGGCCGTGGCCTCAAATATCTGGTCAGAGAAGCTAAAGGAGCTTGTAACACTAACCTCTCAGTTCTTAGCCCACTGAGGACATGACTGGTCTCAGTGGAGCCTCCCCTGCACTGCTTCCCCCAAAAGGGTGACCACCTAAGCGCACTGAAGGGAGGAAATCTGCCTCCCCTGGGCTCACTGCTCCCCTGCAGTGCAGTTGATGTGAGCTACAGCTGCCTCAAATCCAATGCAACAGTACCCCACCCCCACCTCAAGCAGCTGAGCAAGCAGCGTACATCTAGCACCTGGGACATGTGGAGGGGCTGAGGCACTGAGCAGAGGATGCTGGGTTCTTTCATTTGCGTAGTGGAAGTACTGGGTTCAACTGCTGTTCCTGCT